TATATATATATACAATATATATATACCTATGTGTATATATATATATATATATATATATATATATTACTTTCATACATATAATACACACTATTATTATTATTAACATCGAACATCTTCCGTCTCTTTTTTTTAGCTAATTTATCCGGTCATATTTTTTATTCAAAATCACTAATAATTTTGTAATTTTGTAATACTAAAATACATATACTTACCTTATAATTATTAATCATTAACTATGAATGAATATTTGTTTCTTCACTGAAACCGTTTCAGAAATTGGCTAACATGCCTCTGATCGAGCTTTATTGGCACAAACCTTATTTGGGGCATCCACGTCAGTGTCAATTCATGACCTGTTCGCGTAATTCCATTCAGGTTTGCCCATTTTGACCATATCTGGCTTTATGGAAGCATGTCTATTTTGGGATATTCACGCCAACATCAATTTATGGCATATTCATAAATATATAATGAATTTTGCAATGAGTAATTTCGGATTTTTCAGGTAAAATAAACGATTGTATTTTTACTTATAATGAAACAATATATGTGAAATATATGGCTGAAAATCATAGATCAAAATGACGCATATATTGCTTCATAAAATTATAACAACATAAAAATACAATTTTATTTTACTTAAAAGATTCGAAATTACTTACCGTAAAACCCAATATATTCATGACCTATTCATGAAAATTTATTCAGAATTTACTTATCTTGGCTCTATAAAGCCATGCCTATTTTAGGGGAGTCCCTAGTTAAGACCATTGCGTACTTAAGGCTTAGTCCAATTAATTTCTATCTGGGTGGTGTCTTTCAAACCATGCACGTCTGCCCATTTTAATAAACATGCCCGAGTAATATCGCGCGGGCCCAACACTTTCGTGTTAGATCCGCCCTGGTCTCTCGCGTGCCTTTGTCATAATAATTGGCACGATTTCAACGCGATACATCTAATGAAAGAAATCTGCCAGCAACAAGTTACGCTTGTATCGCATAATTGAAGAGTGTAGGTCGGCTGTTAATCGAAGGAATTGGTGATCCGCGAAATTAACTATCTCCAGAATTAATTACCTAGAAAATCGAGCTCTACGTACAATCGGGATTGTTTCACTAGTATATCGTCGTTTCAACGGTCGGCAACGTTTCTTTGAAAGAAGAAATCGAGAAAAATGGAATTCACACGTCCCTTAATTGTCAGCCGCATCGCATTAAATGCCAAACATTTTTCATCAAGATAGAAGATATTGGTGCACTAAGCAATCGCAGATTTCGCAGGTACAGTGAAACGATTATATTTTATGTCCTTACAATTTTAATTATAATGAAATAATACATGTGTGAAGTGTGGCTGAAGACCATAGATCAAAATGACACACACATAGCTTTATAACATTATAATGACATAAAAATATAATCGTTTCACTTTACTTGAAAAATCCGAAATCATTTATCGCAAAAATCAATACATTTCGCGACTCATGATTAATAGGATCACGTGAAAAACAACGTTGCTGTCGCTCTTGAGATCGTCGCTCTATATATATATATATATATATATATATATATATATATATATATAAATAAATTCTATCTTGTACATTTTCCGGAAAAATGATTGAAATGCAAATCTTTCTTTTTAATCGGTGTAGAAAATATCGAGGAATATAAATTTTATGAAAGTTTTTGTAGTTTAATAAAATTGAAAAAAGTGAAAAGTTACAATGAAAAAACAAAACACATTTTTTCAAGAACGACAACGTTCGAAACGTGAGTTTGGGTAAATTTATTCATGCTCAAGTTTCTAGAGTTAATATAGTGTCGTTGTGTTATTTCGACTATTCTGAGTTGAGTTCATGTTCACCATTTCTAAGGGGAGGACCAGAAATAGAAACGCGCTTTTGGAATGCGGTATTCCAAATGGTAATTCTTCATGTCCATATTAATTCCAAACTCTAGCTTCAGATACCTTACCAAAAAAAGCTTTTTTTTACCAATTTAAAAAAAACCATTAAAATTTTAATGTCATTAGATCGATAAGTCATTTGACAATGTGATAGATTTCAAGGAAAGTAGCAAAGAAATTATATTTTGAAAATTTCTACATTTTTTGTGCTCAAAATGTGATGATTTTCACGTAATAAATCCATTGCATAATGAACAGTATCCATGATGAATTCTTTGTTCGTTACCGTACTTGATGGCAACTCTGATATTTCAATATCAATTGCAACCGGAACATTTGCAATTGGAACCGGTAGACCGTCTATTCTGTCAAGAGGAAACTGTCATGATGTAGCTACAGAAATTTAATGACAATGCTTATCATGTCTAACTAAGGATTTGTAAAAAACTATTACGGGCCCGCGTTTATATAATGCTCGCGCAGTTAAATGTGTTTGCACAAGTCGCTGGGACCTATGTACCTCTAAGTATCGAAATAAATGTCAAATTTTATAAAAACTATTGTTCTTGGAACATTTTGCTACGTAACTTGTTTGCTCTTTTCTTTGAAATTTATCACGTTGTTAAGTAGTTTATCAATCTAATGACATTACAATTTTTATGGTTTTTTTAATTGATAAAAAAGTAAGGGGAGAGTATCTGAAGCTAGAGTTTGGAATTCTTAATAATATAGGATATAATAAAATAGATGTAAAGGACTACCACTTGGAACAAACCGCATTCCAAAAGAGCGCGTTTCTACTTCTAGTAGGAACTTCGCCCCTTGCAAATGAGATGACGCAATTAAGATTCCTGGGTAGTCAGCGGAGAATTCCGTTGACGATGGCGACATGGTTATAAACGGCAAGATGATGAACTATTAGGCGAGAAAATAGGTCTGTTCGTTTCCGACGAACTCCTGCATTAGTACTATTGCAATAAGAGGGAGAGAGAGAGAGAAAGAGAGTTAAAGTGAAAGAAAATATACTTATCTCTCTTTAACTTATTGCATTAATGTAAAAATTCATCGAAAACGAACAGACCTAATGATGTAAACAGACGACTAATTTTTTCTGCAAACCACAGCGTTATTATTGAGTAGTCTATGTATGTCACATGTGACATAATTGTGAAATTATGGAAATGTCGGATACTATGCTTATATTTAATGCATACAAATAGTTTTTCAGTCATATTTGACATTGAGTCACACAGCTAATTTCCTATCAAAACGAGGTACTTGTTACATTTATTTTGCGGTTACGTAAGAGGAGCGTGTGGACTATTTCACAAGTATGTAGAGTATGTAGAGTAGATTGCAAGCGTCATTTGAATAATATATTGTTTTATTTAACCGTGAACCATTTACAGAAATTTTGAACAAGGTTTTTCTCGCTTTTTACGTCATCAATCCAACATGACCGCGGTGATTATCCTTAACATGTAACATGTACGTTCTTGATGATATAAAAATAAACAACACAACCCAAACAACACAAGATCTCCTCAGGACGTCCTCAGGACTTCCTTAGGATGTACTCTAGATATCCCCTGGACATCTGTGCTGTTAGAGACGTTATATATAAAGTGTACAGATAGATTGTGTTATTTGTTAACATATTTGCTTTGTATTAAACTGATACAAAAATTAGAGTGCATACATTGGAACGTGTTAAATTTAACGCAAAACTTTTTGCAGTGTAGGACAGAAATGAATCGAAATGTGCACAATTGCTTCGTAAAATGTATGACAACATAAAAATACTATCGTTTTATTTTACCTGAAAAATAAAAAAAATTCAAAATTACTTATCACCCAACCCAATACAACTGCGTCACGATTAATCGCGCGAGAAACACGTCGTCGTCGCTCTTGACGCCTTGATGAATATTTGCCAAGTATAACATGTCGTTGATTTTTTTTCTAATAATACAACTGACTTGAGTAATTAGAATTACCGTTGACTTCCCACGATGAGTCGTGCTAAATTCATCCTTAATTGCGCTGACATGCTCCACAGCCAATTGCGTCCAAGTAGTCATGGTTAGAACTCGAGTAACATCACATCGGCGCGAAACAGATGCGAGGAGAACGAGCTACACGGGCGGCACTTGGTTTTTGCAATCCCGATATTTCGCTCGCGTGCTTTCACGCACGCATATCGCGCAATAAGAAGAGTCCGCTGGCGATTCACACTGGAGAAGCAGAGAGAATCGATCGCGGTTGCCCGACGTTTGACCGCTCTAGAACAGTCGGCACTTGCGACTGGGTCTGCTTTAATTAGTTATAAATAAAGGCAAGCAGACAGACAGACAGGCAGGCAGGCATCAGGCCAGAATGGGAAGACCTATTGACATTCCCCGGCACATTGATGTGACACTCGCTATGTGGAAAAGAAGCGCGAGCGAGCGAACGAATGTCGACATCATCACTGCGGAAATTCGCCAGCCGTTCAGCCCGACAGCTCACGCTCTTGCCGAGCAGCACGTACCAGTGGATAATTCGCCGAGAAGATATGGAAAAATTTTTATGTCGGTTGACACGTCGATCCGTCGACGAGAAAAAGCGCATTCGCACGGACGTCGTTTCTTCTCAAAAATAATTCCCCGACATATGATATTTGTGATTTTCTTTCGTGTGTGATTCTGTTTATGAACAAATCGTGGTGTTCAATTACTTGAATAACTGGAAAATAAAAGCTTACAGTTGTTATCTATAAATAATCAATCCGTCGAATGTTCGAGGAAAAACATAGAGAGCGCCCTGTGCGTGTAGTTTTTTTCAAAAATAATTCCAACACGTGATTTTTGCGATTTTCTTTGTGCATGACTCCGTTTACAAAGTAATTGTGACGTTTAATTACTTGTATGTATAACTGAAAAATAAAAACTCGCAGTCGTGTTATCTATAAATAGAAAGAACGCAGAAAAACGCTCGAAGAAAAACGCAGAGAGCATCGTGTGCGTGTAGTTTCTTCTTAAAAATAGTTCCGACACGTGATTTACACGAATTTCTTTCGTGCGTGATTTTGTTCATAAACAAATTGTAGTGTTCAATTATCTGAATGTATAATTGAAAAATAAAAACTCGCAGTCGTGTTATTTATAAATAATCAATCCGTCGTATGTTCAAAAAAAAAACAGAGCGTCGTATCTTATAGTATCTTTTTAAAAATAATTAAAAACAGTGCATATAGTATCTTTTTAAAAAAAATAGAGCGTCGTATCTTATAGTATCTTTTTAAAAATAATTAAAAATAGTGCATATAGTATCTTTTTAAAAAAAACAGAGCGTCGTATCTTATAGTATCTTTTTAAAAATAATTAAAAATAGTGCGTATAATATCTTTTAAAAAAAAACAGAGCATCGTATCTTATAGTATCTTTTAAAAATAATTTAAAAATAGTGCGTATAGTATCTTTTTAAAAATAATTCCGACGTGATTTACACGATTTTCTTCCGTGCATAATTCGTGCATAAGTCGTATGTATCACAATCGTGATATTTATAAATAACCAATCCGTCGTGTGCTCGAGAAAAAACATAAAAAGCGTCGTGTGCGTGTACTTTCTTTTTAAAAATAATTCCGACACGTTCAGAGACAATTTACACGATTTCTTTGGTGCGTGATTCTGTTCACAAACAAATCGTAGTATTTAATTATCTGAATATATAACTGGGAAATAAAAACTCGCAATCGTGATATCTACAAATAATCAATACATCGTGTGCTCAAGGAAAACCACAGAGAGCGTCATGTGCGTGTACTTTCTTTTTAAAAATAATTTCGATACGTTCAGCGACGATTTACACGGTTTCTTTGGTGCGTGATTCTGTTCATGAAGAAATTGTGGTGTTCAATTACCTGAATGTATGACCGGAAAATAAAAACTCGCAGTCGTGTGTGTTATCTATAAATAAAAAATATAGAGGATTTATTAGAGCGAGCGTTGGGAAAAATAACTATAAAATAGAATTTGTTTCGTGCTCTTAAACTTGTTTGCTTGTATTCCATCTCACATACTTTACGAGCATAATGACAACACACAGTTTTGATTTTTTACTTTTCTTCAAACAAGAATAGTGTGAATGACACCAATAATGTAATACAATAAATAACATCATACGTTTTTTTATAACAAGGGATGCTTTCCGTAAAGGCTAATTCACATTGATAAGAATTCAATGTAGGATCGAAATGTTTATCTTTTATTTCAAAATTATAGAATTATAGAATTATTGAATTTTTATTTACTGTATTTATTTATGCGTACTTCCTCCCAACGCTTGCTCTAATAGGCCCTCTATATTTTTAATTTAAATTGTATATTAAAGAACTTTTCTTAAATTTTTTTATCTATAAATAATCAATCCGTCGTGTGTTCGAGGAAATGCACAGATTATTTTGTCGATACAGCTTTATAATATTCTTGTAAGGAAAATAAATTGTTCTTTTGAATATATGATAATGAACCTTTCTACAATTTGTGATGAATATATTTTAAGAAAAAATATTCTTTGTTGAAGATAACCATTACTTAAAAGAAGTAAACTGAAAATTATTCAGAATAATCGGTTTTCTTAACAGTAGAATATTTTTCTGTGTATATAATTAAATCGTCATGTGCTCGAGAAAAGTCGTAAGGAACATTGCGTGCGCACGTAGTGTTTTTTATAAGTAATTTCGGGACCTGATTTTCGGTTCTTTTTGACATGTGACTCTGCTTGTAAGCATTTTAAGGTATTTAATTATTCGAATGTAACTGTAAAATTAAAAAATTTGCAGTTAAATACATGTAATAAAATAGAATGTCTGTTTTTTATAAACTCTTAAATCCTTTGACCGACCTGGATTAAATTTTGCATAATTATTTTTTAGGATTCTGCGGAAAATATGGGTTACTATGAAACCTGGACATCTCATCCCCTCTTCTAATTTCATCCCGTTGACATTTTGTAATAATTCAAACAACGCTGAATAATTGAAGCTAGTTATCTATAAATAATTCATTGTGTATTTGAAAAAAACACAGAGAGATGTCGTGTACGTAATGTTTTTTATATAATTTTGGAACATAATACTCGATTCTCTTTGATACGTGACTCCGTTCGCAATTTACGGAGTATCAAATTATTTGAATGTAACCGCAAAATTAAAACTCGCAGTCGTGTTATTCGTAAATAATCAATTTGTCATGTGCTCAAGGAAAGACGCAGGAAGACGTCAACTGCAGAAAAAAAATTCTTATTTGGAGAATATCTAATATTCGTCTATTCTTGATTGAAAACAAATTTATATTCGTTCCATACATAATCTTATTTTAATATTAATCTTGTTTTTAACCCTTATTGTGCACACTTCAGTAGAATCACATAATAGGCACACTGGGGTCTTTCGCGACCCCAGCTACAAAAATGCTGCAATAAAATTATTCGCTTTTTTTATTTGAAAAAAATTCCAGGATATATTTCAAACATCTTTTTATATTACGGAATAATTTTTCTAGACAAAATTTGATTTTAAATGAAGTAAAAAAATTGGAAAGCTCAAAAAACGCGAAAAATGACTTGATTTGCTCGAAAAATCATAACTAATACAATTTTTTATATTCAAGGTAAAATTTTAAGAAACTATTCTCAAGACATATTTCTTTAAGAAAAAAAAAGTAGAATATAGGATTAGTACAATAGCAAGATTTTCAAAAAAGTTATTTATTTTGAATATCGAAATTAGGATTTTTGTGAAAAAAGCAAACAGTTTTCCCAAAATATATATATATTTACTTTATTATATTTTATTTTATTTTTTATTTTATTTTATTTATTTTATTTATTTATTTTTTCTGGGATCTATTTGACCCCACAGTGCACAATAAGGGTTAAAATGTCAACAATAAAGATATTCTCCAAACAAGAATATTCTTTTTTCTATGTGTAGTTAGTTGTTAGTTTCTTTTTAAGAACAATTTCGAGATTCGACACTCGCCGATTATTTTTGCTGCGTAATCGTGCAGACAGGTGATTTGCGGTATTCAATTATCCGAACGCAACTAAAAAATGTACGCTCGAAATCGTATCATTTGTAAATAAAATTCACAATTGATGTCTGAAGCCATGAAGGAGTCTGAAGTGAACTTGCGAGGAGAAACTCGAATTTGTAATCCTATCAATTTTAACGTGATCCGCACCCGTCGAGAAGTTTATCGCCATAAAAAAAACCGTGGGATGTCATCGCCTCTCTCTGATTGGGAACTATTCGCCGCCTCTCATTGTGTGAATAAATTTGCTCACCGTATTAGACCGTTTTATTATCTTCTCCGGATCATCCCCTTCGTAGGCACTGCCGAGCTGTTGCACAGCGACCTCCACGCTCAGCACGTCCCATCTTGTCATGCTTCACGTATCCACGACGACGAAATTGTGAGGAATCACAATTGAACAATTGATTAGATTAGAAATCCGGAGGTGCACAAATTAATCGCGCGAATAGAGAAACGAGAAACGCAATACGGGGGTAAGCGTGCGGGAGCTTTCACGCGAGCTTACTTTCTTTCTCGGTAAGACACTCAGCAACGACGATCAACGACAGCGCCGTAACAGCAACAATGCGTCAAACATTTATGTTAACGATGCAATCAGCCAAATAAGCGATCGCACATGTCACTTTCGAGCGAAGGCAACATAACGTGAGATCGCGCGCGGTCTCTCTCCACACTCGTTTTACTCTCGTTACCTTCGTGCGTGCGCGCGTCACTTAAAAAAAAAAAAGAAAAAAGGACAAATCAAAGAAAACAGAAACATGAATACGTCGACCGGATCGTGGCTCTCTCGAAAAAAACGACAATGCGAGATCAAACGCGCGCGTCTCGCCGTTCTTCTCGTTTTCCCTTTCTGCACTATCGCCAAAGGCACAGAACAGGAACACGTTAACTTGTTCGCCACACTTCCACAAGTGGCGAAGAAGCCACAGCTGATGCGGGCAGATCCACCGATCCGTGCGGATATTTCGGTGGATCTCTCGAGCTTCGATTAAATTCACACTCGCTCGGGAATTTAGCTTATCTGGCCCCACCGACGGGCCGAAGACAGCAGCCGAAAAGCAACGTACTCAGTCATCGCTGTGATGTTCGTCAAGACGTCTCCGCCTGCGTTCTGCGTCGCAGAGGAGAAAAATTGTAACTAAAATAATCGGATGTTTCGCCGCTTCTCCTCAAAATAGACCCACTGGAGTGCTCCGCGAGGCACAAACACTTCGAAGTAGGCGAATCATTCGAGCGTGGGTGGCGGGGATCTGAGTAAATCTTTCCTCCCTTTTCGTTTCTTCTCTTTCTGCTTTTATTTCTTCTTCTTCTTCTTCTTTAACGTACATTACGCCAGAGAAACGGAACGGCGCGTTCCCCATCGCGGAGAAAAAGATACGGATACACACGCGGCGTTCTGCGCTCTTTATCTGCGAGCGCGCTAAACTCCACTCGTATCTTCTGCCAAGAACTACTTAGTTTTCCCCTACACGTGGAATCGTGAACACTCGGTTACACCTCGGAAAATGTATTATGATGCACCAACAAACGCAATATACACATAAACCGGTATAAAAGCTTTAACATGTGATGTAACTAAATTGTTAGGATTCTCTAGTCATATATGTTGAGTT